ATATACACTATATATACTATACATATATATATATATATATATATATATATATATATATATATATATATATATATATATATATGTATATATATATATATATATATCCAAAGTGTTCGAATATACAAGTCTAATGCATATCCATTTCACCTCACACATTCGCACTTACCACCACTTGCAGGCAGTGCCCACTGTGACACACACCCACTCGAGTCTCCGACATACAACCGCTTGTGGTCACGGGCAAGCTTCAGTGACGTGACAGGCACAGCATCGTCATCACTCGCCAACGTAGTCACATTCACAAACTTCCTCTCCCACGTCTTGTCAACGCCGGAGCTCGTATCCACACCCGTCCCGTTATTCGAACCAGCCATACCGGGACTGCTGTGGGCCTGTGTATCTGTGGTGGTGTCTGTGCTGAGGAAGAGCAGGTCTTCACTGTCTGACTGTAGAGGCTCGACTAACCTGAACGCAATGCGCCAGACACACACAGCACCGTTGGCGTGGCCGGTGATGAAGACTCCCGTGGTCTCCCACTCTGGCCCTTCACTCACCACGCAGCTCGTAATGTCTAGGTCGGTTCTGTATATGTTTCTATAAATATATTGTATAGTTAAAGTGTTAGTGTGTGAATGTGTTTAATAACTAGACTATATAGTTAAAGTGTTAGTGTGTGAATGTGTTTATTAATTAGACTATATAGTTAAAGTGTTGGTGTGTAAATGTGTTTAAATTGGTTCTGTATATATTTCTATAAATAAATTATTAGACAAGGCGTTAGTGTGTGAATGTGTTTTATAATTGGATTAAATAGTTAAAGTGTCAGTGTGTGAATGTGTTTTATAATTAGATTATATAGTTAAAGTGTGAGTGTGTGAATATGTCTCAATGGGTTCTGTATGTTTCTATATTTAGATCACATAAACAAGGTGCTAGTGTGTGGGTGTGTTTAGCTTGGTACTGTATATGCTTCTATAACTAAATTACAGACTTTAAATGACTACATAGACAAGGTACAGGTATCCTGGCTACAGTTGTACTACCATTCGTGTTGGGTATTTGTGAGTTGAATGCTCATACACATATGCCGCCATATAGAGATTCCTAGTGCGTGCCTCAGAGAAGGGATCCATATGCTTCGATCAGATGCGTTCTTGTTGAATTGGACTGTTGAATTAAATACGTACATCTTTCTTTCGAAATGGCAGAGAAAGTATACATACATACATACATACATACACACACACACACACACACACACACACACACACACACACACACACACACACA